AATGTCAAGATCTTGCTCCACTTGGCTTTCAGTCCCTTCAGAGCTTTGCCTTAAAGCACAGGAGCATCTTATCCTTGCTGGGAGCTGGAATTCCAGAGCATTGCAGTGTGTGCCATGGACCACAGAGGGAATTCCCGAGGCTCTCAGGTGCTGCTTCTGCCGTGCCTCTCGAGGGAGCTGTGCAGGTGCAGGGGACAAGGTCCTGAAGCTCTGTGGGCTCCCAGAGCAGGCAGCAAAGGCTTCTCTGCTGGGCATTTTCAAGCACATTCCCAGCTGAAAGCAGAGACCAGAAGAAAAGGGAAGTGAGGAGCTGACAATCCCGGGATGCTTGCGGCTGGAAGGGGCCCTGTGCAGGTGTTACGAGCCCATGAGGGAGAGATGCCTCTGCCTGAATGAAGCTGCAAAGGAGGCCATGTGAGGACAACGTAGGGATTTTAATTAACATGGATTTTAGGGAGGTAGGGAGGTAGAAAGAAATAGCAAAAAGGTCTCAGAGAGAAAAAGAGAGAGAGAGAGAGAGAGAGAAAACAATCAGCTGGAACTAAATGATCTTTAAGGTTTTCCCTTTCATTCTGAGATTCTAGAAGGTGTGGATTTTGATATTATTACTTACTACTACTATAATTTCATCTCCTTCATCTTTTTATTCTTATTTACTATTACTAGTATTTCTTTTTCTTCATCTTAGTAATTGTTCTTTTCATTGTTTTTCTAACTCATTAATTAATACTAGTATTATTTCTTCTTATTATGATTATTCTTAGTATTCTTATTGTTCTCATAATTCTTATTCAACTTCTTATCCTCTTTTTGCTATTATTATTACTATTTCTTCCTCTTTATCTTCTTTTTCTTTATTACTACGATGATTTCTTATTCTTCTCAGTCAATTTATTTATTTATTTTTTTATTCTTTTTCTTCTTATAATTATTATCATTTACTACTACTATCTCTTCATCATCTTATTCCTCTTAATCTCACTCTTACTCATATTCCTAGTCTTATTTTTTGTTGGGTTTTTTGTATGGGTTTGTTTTTTTTGTTGCTGTGTTTTGTTTTGTTTATTGGGGGGAGTTTTGGTGGGTTTTGTTTTTGATTTTGGGAGGTTTTGGGGGGATTTTTTGGGATTTTTGAGTTTGGTGAGTTTTGGGGTTTTTTTCTTACTACTACTATTTCTTAAAGCAAACTTTCATTGTTTTGGTAGAACACTTTGTGTCACAGTCCTGCCGAGCCTGGAGGGCCACATCAGGGCAGAGGCAGCTCATGAGAGGCACAGCTACAGCTCTTGCACAGAGAAACAACTGGTGATTATTAGTGATATGTAAAATGTCTGGAGTGCAGGGTTCAGCAGAACTCCCTGCATCCCTGTTCACTTCGACTACGACATCGGCCTGGGAGCAGCTCTGCACATGAACAGCAACTGATTTAAAGCAAACTCTCCTTCTTTGCTGAGTCCCACTTCTCACAGCTCATAAACTCTGAGAGCTTTTTTTGTGTCATTTCAGGGAACAGGCCAGGATCACAGAAAGTTCATGGCTTCCTTATCACTAACCCCATGTCTATGTACAGCTCCAGCTGATGGCAGCTGAGAACCCCCTGCGAAGGAGGGGCTGAGGGATGGTCAGACTCTGATGCAGAGAAACCTTGTTCTGGGAGACAGGACTTTCCTAAATACCAGGAGAACTTCAACAAAGTAAATTTCCCAGCTCTCCTCTTCTGGATTATGTAACATTCCCATCAGATAGGACCCCAGTTCAGTGGTACACTCCTCTGATCCCTTGCCTAACAATCCCACGGACAAAAAAAAAAAAGGTTTTATTTTGTTGTTGTTATCTTAAAACTTTCATACCACTGTACTAAAAATGAGGGCTCAAGAGTTACCTAAGATATACTTTCCCACAGTTTTTATTGCAGGGCAGCTCAGCAGGAATACAACATATCCCTTATCTGTCTGGGCTGGCTCTAACTCCATTAGGAATGCAGTAAAACAAAGGAAAGGAAAGCTTCCTCACCCTGCTGAGCAGAGCATAAATACTCCTTGTTTATGGATATATCACTACAATCATCATTTTCTAATGCTGCTGATACTGATGTCTAATACCCCAGGAATTTCCCACAGAGGCATTTGCATTTAGAGATTTACAAGGTTTGCTTCACATATATGTAATTTAGCCAGAAAACATCAGTGAAACATACATGTGATCAGTCAGGGGTCACTGTTGTTCCTTGGAAAAAGACTGTTTCTGGAGTTCTTGAACATTTATATGGCACAACTGGTGCAATTCAGATGTGGCCCTGCACATTTCATGGGGCAGTTATCCCATGTTTATTCCTGAGATGACATGGCTTACTTGTGGACTTGTGTCATGGAGTTACTTTACCTTTAAGGGAGTTGGAGTTGCTGGGAAGTGCTTGGAGTCTTTTCTCCTGACCAATTATCGGTCATTGCTGGGAATTGACAGCAGTTTAGGCCATTGAAAAGTGGGATCAACTTGTGAACCCTACCTTAAAATATAAAAGCAGAGCTCTCTGGGTTCTCTTTGTTTCCTGGCTGTGGAGGGTGGCGGAGCTCCAGGCCTCCCGTCCCTGCCCAGGCCATGCGGCCGGGCGGGGATGGGGCCGGGCCTGCCCCGTCTCCCGGCCGGGAGATGGGGGGGCCTGGGGAAGGCTTTCCTCGGGCCCGGGCCGGGCCGAGCCGATCTCTGGCTCAGCTGCAGGTTTTGCTGTAACTACATTCACTAGAAACTGCCCAGTGAAGAAAGAGAGAGGCCTTGGACTTGCAGCGGGCTGGAGCAGCGACCACACTCTCCAGAGCAGCTATGAAGAACCTTCCATCGCAGACGGCTCCAGCTCCTGTTCGGCAGAGATCTCCGAACCATCTACAAAAGCCTGGGCAAGATTTTAACTCTTTCATTACCCAGATGAGACTTGCAGACTAATCTTTTTATCCAGAGAGAGAGAGAGAGAGAGAGTGATCAACATGAAAAGAGACTTTATAAACTACCAATGACAGGAAAGAAAAGAAGCTTCAGAAAAGGTAGAGAATTAAGAAGATGCTTTAATTAAGCTGAAATATCTTTCTGTTAAAACTATGGAGATGGACAATGAAGTCCTGAAAATAACTCCTTTAATTCATGATACAGTATCTAGAGAGGAATAAAGTGTTCAAAGTGTAAATTTGAGTAAAAAGTAGAGTAATTATGGTATAGTGAAGTGCTGGGAGATTTGAAGCCTTGAGAGGCAATGAGAAAACTGTTTTCTAGTGAAGCTCACAGAAACAGATGAAGAAGACTTTTTTTGCCTTTGAATAACTTATCCTTAAAAATGCTCTCTCTAGACTCATGGCCCATACACACCTCAGAGTGATGTGAAAATGGGAGGAGTGAACTCTAATAATAGCAGCTCTGAGCAGCTAACATTAGGGCAATAGAAAACTATAACAAAAATAGTTTTCTTGTGAGAAACTCCATAAATTAACAGGAAGAAACTTCTGTTTCTCTACAAAGACTGGTGAAAAGACTGTAGCAAGAATTGTTTTAACCATCAAAGTTCCAAAGTTTTTGTCTCTGTTGTCATGTGAACAAGGGAATAGTGGGTAGATAGGGGATAGAAAGGTTTTTCTGGAAGTTTATTCTGGTGTTCTTATTATTGTGGTTTGTCAATAAACTTTCTTTTTTTTCCCTTTTAAGTTGTATGCCTGTTTTGCTCTTGTTCTAATCCATATCTCACAGCAAGAAATAAGTAATTTTCTTAGTTATTGGTTTAAAACCAGGACACTGTTTTTCTGCCAAAGGGCAAGCATGTTGCCTTTCAGGTAGAGAAGGACTGAAACCAGAACAACATCTTGCAGCACCAACCTTCTCTGCCATATCAGATGAAATGTTGCAGGTGTTGCTCGGAGTCTGCACTCTCTTGCAGTGCTTGTTTTCACTGTGCAAAGCCCAGGAGTTGGCAAAATCGTAACTGTTCTCCACCAGGGTCCCTGGGAATGAAGAATAAGAGAAGCAATATCACTTTTGGAGGGGTTTTAGTGACAAATGCATTATTGGCTGCTATTAAGGTGATAGTCTGCCAAAAGCTCTCTTTAAAAATATAAACTGTTGTATCAAATGGATTTTTATTCCAAACAGATTGACTGCAGGAAAGCCACTATCAGTGATATGGATTTAGTTTTATGCTGAGGACATATCTAAGCTCAAGGACAGACTAAAGACTGCAGAAGGCAGCTCCCACCTCCCTCATACCTACATGAACATGGTAGGAGTTGCTGCTGGTCAACTACAATCTGCAGAAGCCAAATCATGCCTGCACATCTTCTTACCACTTAAAAGTTGCCAATAAAACACAAAACATATTAGAGAGGCAAACAAACCCAGCTGCTTTCCCTAATTGAAGAAAGCATTAGCACTCTTGATCCTGGCTAGCCTTGATTTTTCTCCTATCCAAAACTAAATCTTGTGTGCAAAGCTTAACATGCACCGTGATGGTTTGGGCCCATCCTCTTCCTGGGTAAGGTGTCCTGAAACACACTCCTCTGTCCCAGGACAAGCAGCTCCTGGCCCAGGCTTAGCAAGATTTGCATCCATTTTGCATAAAAGCAAAGCTGAACGAGTTTGTATGGCTGCAACTCCCTGGGAGATGCATACCACCTCTCTGCTGCTCTTGCTCCACCCTTCTGAGAAGGGGGATCCTCCCAGAGAGAGAATGCTCCCTCCACCCGCTTTTGCCACCCATGGCCTTGCTGGTTCCAGGACTACCTCTGCTTGTGGGTACCTGTTGGTAAACAATTTTGTGACCCTCAGTAGCCTTTTAAAACCCCGTTGTGGTACCTGTGAGAATATCAATTGCGAATGTTAATGCATTCCCAACACCTTATGCAGAAGATGTATTGAGATACAAGCCTGGTTGTATCTGAAAACCAAAAAAATTCTTCCCAAATATACCTATAGAATATTTAATAATGTATACAGGTATAGATAATAAAGATTCCATTGAACTCCCTATTTAGTACAAACACAAGAAATATACAGACCACTAAAACTCTTCCTAAACTATGGGGTAATCATGAAAACTGCACTGAGAATGCTAAGGCAGAGGTATTAAGACCTGTAGAATTTTTTGTAAACTAGTGTGGTGATTTTAGCTCTAGCTAGAATCACCAAGGTACTTACTCATTTCTTGCTGTGAGATATAGATTAGGAGAAAGGCAAAACAGGCTTAAAACTTAAAAGGAATAAAGAAGGTTTATTAACAGAACTACAAGAATAAGAAACCAGAAAAAAACCTCCGGAAACCTTTTCTTCCCCCACCCTTTTTCCTTTCCCAACTGACACTGTAGAGACAAAACCTGGGAAGTTAAAGCAGTACCAACTATACAATAGTCTTTTCATCAGTCTCTGTGGGAGAGGAGTTTTCCCTTGTCATTCCATGGAGCGTTCTCCACAAAAAACAGTTTTCTCATGGCTTTTCATTCCCATGATTGGCATCCACCTGGAAAAAACTCTGCCATCATGCCCTCCTCCCATTTTCACACCGCCCTGAGGTGTGTTCATGGGCCATGAACTCAAGGGGTATTATTTTAAGGATGAGTTCTTCAAAGGCAAAGGTTCTCTTCATCTGTCTCTGTGATGATCTCTGGGAACAGAGGTTTTCTCCTTTCCTCCCTGGGGGCCAAGGGTCTTCATCAACTCTCACTTCTCTCTCTGTTCCACCATCTCATGGGATCACAACTACTCCACCATTTGCTTAGCTCATCAATGGATACCTTTGCTCAGATTCACTGTTTGAATAGTTCATTCCTGCTAATACTCTTTTCATTAATTAAAGGAGTTTTTCAGAACATTATTGTCCATTTCCATGGTCTTAGCAAAAGAATATTTCAGCTCACTAAATCATCTCCTCACTGTCCTTCCATGCGAGGCTTGACTTCTTTCCTCTTACTGACCTTGATGTTTCATGTTGTCTCGCTTTCCTCTCTCTGTAGAGGGAATTAAATCTGCAGGTCTCATCTGGGTAGTGAAAGGGTTAAAATCTGGCCCAAGCCACTGCAGCTATTCATGGTGTTGGATTTCAGGTCGGTAGCACTGGAAAGCAGTGGACAGCTTTCCGGTGAGAGGGTATCAGTGAGATGCCAGCAGCTCTGGCCCGGCCCCAGCCTAGGGCCAGAGCCCCCCCCTGGGAAAGGCTTCAGCCACCCTGCTGGAATAGGACCTGGAGGGTTTAACAGGAGGGGCTGCAGCAGAGCCCGGCCCTGGCCTGGAGCCGGGGGAAGTTCCGCAGTCTCCATGCCCTGCCCGGGAGCCACAGCAGGCCAAGCCCAGGCCCTGCTGGGCCGCGCAGGCCACGGGGGAGCGGGGCCAAACGCACCAGAGCTCTGCTACCTTTCAAGGCCGGAAACAAAGAGAGACAGAAGCTCCTGGGGTTAGGTTTAAAAGGTGGTATTCACAAAGGTGATCTCACTTTTCAGTGGCCCCAAATGCTGTAAATTCTCAGAAATGGCCAGCTATTGGTCAGGTCTCAAGCAGAGAACAAAATCCCAGCAGCGTCTCTCAGAGGAGTCACTTCTGTGGATATTTCCCACATTTTTTCCTAGATGCCAAACTATCACAACTAGAAATTAGGGGCTTTTAAAGGTAGAATGTATTAGGCCCACGGCAGATATCAAATGAGGAAGACTCCCAAGGAAAAGGGATAAAAGACACAAAATTTTCATCTATGCAGCCAGGACTTGGCACAAGAAAAGAAATGCAACAACAAGAAGAACGCAACCCTTTAGCTTACCACATATTATAAAAATTAAAACAGCAATGCAGGCCAGCCTGGTGAGAAGCGAGGTGCCAAATTCCCTTTTTTTTTGTAGTAAAGCAGCCTTTCCCTAGCAGGAGCTGGGCTCTCCTCTGAAACAGTGTTTCTCCAGCCCTGTATGTACATCCATGCCAGGATTCCTGCTGGGAGCTGCTCCCAGGGGCTCATTCAACCGCAGGCTAAGATTTGAAGGTTGGGACAACTGATGGCAACTAAAATACTTTTTAGGTCACTTTTTTTCATTTCTTTCATTAATTTTTTTTTCTTGTGTGGTGCTTTTAAATTTATATTTCTAACGTGATTCTTTTATGCAACATTTGCATTATGCAATTTTTATTCTTTGTTTGCTGTATTTTATGACACATTTCAAGTAAGTGAAGGGTCTGGAGAGACAGTCATGTGAGGAACAGCTGAGGGAGCTAGGCAGGCTCAGCCTGTAAAAAAGGAGGCTCGGGGGGCCCTTCTGGGTCTCTACAGTTCCCTATAGAGGAGGGGGCAGCCAGGTGGGAGTCAGGATGAGAAGAAACGGCCTCAGACTGCACCAGGGGGAGGTTCAGGTTGGACATCAGGAAGAATTTCTTCATGGAGAGGATTGT